CAAGGACCGTCATGTTGCCTGGTATGGCGCAATCGGGGCCCTACCCTGGAGCCAGGCCCGGGGTTGGGGCTCAAATGCGAGCGCCTGGTGGCTGCGCCTTTTACCACGGGGCCTGGCCGGGCTTAGCCCGAACGAGCGACGTGGGGACGTCCTCCCGTGGGCCCACCACCTGCAGGAGGATCCGTAAGGGGCCGGTGCACAGTGGATTGGGCAGCAGTCGAAGGCAGGGGCCCCGACGACCCGATCTCTGGACACCTCGCATTTTTTCATGATATGTAAAATGGCCACACTGTAAAAGCGAATTTTCAGTCTAAAAGTGTTCTATATGATAGTTTGGCATGTGCTTGTTGACAAGGCATTATCTTTGGTTACAAGAGTTGAAGCCTTCAGAAACCTAGTGTGTGTATTCTGCTTTCTTCAGCCTGTGCTACCTTGTTGCTAGTTAATGCTAACTAGCCATTGTCTGTAGATATCAGGCGTATTGTCTGTAGATATCAGGTGTTTTGTCTGTGCGGAAACTGACTGTCAAAGTGGATGTCTGTTCTCAGCTTAGTTGAAGCATCTGGTCTTAACAGTCCATGGCTGTGTCAAATAACCTGATTATTTGAATGTCCACAACAAAGATAGGTGGTGCAGGTTTAATGATTAGACCATTTTAAAAATCATGCATTAATCTTGTTGCATTTTGAAAATCATCTATTAGAATTTTGAGTTGTTCTATAAATAAAATAAAATATAGTTTTTTGTTTTTTTTTTGGCCAGGTTGCTTAGCCCTACTTCACTGAAACACTGAATTGATAATGCCAGGGGGAGTAAATGGTACAAAGCAGAGGAACTTGACAGAAAGCAGCATGTTGTGCCTCATCAGAACTGACATGTTCTTGGTTTGCTAGCATGTTAGCCATCAACCAGTCCCGCGGATATTCCATTCCCTACATTATCAAGCTGCACCACCAATTTCAGTCCATGATTGAGTCTCTGTTGATATGTGTTGTGTTTTTGTTGATTTGAAATTTGTATATGAATGTGTTCAATTTTTGAGACTGATCTAAGTTGTCCATATCATCTTATTTTAGACTGCTGCTTATTTTATCACATATGAAGACTACTTTACTGCCAATGAGCTCTTCTGAGTGATTATAAATAGCTAATTCAGTTGTATAATTTATGACTTGTTTTATGACTGGTCGCTGACTGTGCTGCCATATCATGCTGTCAGTGCAATCTGTGATTTCATCTGTTTTTCTTTCTTTACATTTATCACTTTCTGACCATCTTTTTCTTTTTTCTGTCCTTCCTCTCTTTTTTACTGTTATTCTAATTCCTTTCAATTCCATAATCACCAGCCTGACATGGGTTCAGCTAAACCAAACTCCACCAAACCCCGTCCATCCACCCTCTCCAGCAATGGGGAGGCCACCTCTGCCAAACATCCCTCCAGCACAACACCCTCAACCAATAAAAAAAGCCCTGTCCCCAAGGTCACTACACCCACTGCCACCAAGCGGACACCACTGGCAACTGGCTCCGCCAAGGCTGCCAAGGTAAGTAAAATACTGTGTTTCTGTGTGAGAATTGGATGACTGTATCATACCTAATTTAGTGAAGATATTGGTTTAGGCCTTTCTCAAGCTGTCATTATTTACATCCTCATTCAAAGCATATATTTAGCTGAGTAAAGTCCAGATATTGAGGATATTTTTGAATCTGACAAGAGTGGAACTAGCTTAGAAAGGAAGGTTGGCCAGTATGCATTTCTGGTTTTAAATCAACCAGTGGTTATGCTGAAGAATATGAACTAGGTAGTGTGTGAGGGTGTGAAGTGTGGATATTTCCAACTTATGCAGTCTATGAAGTGCAAGAAAGGGAGAAGGAGAAAAAAACACAACAATAATAAAGATGATAAGAGCACTACTAATAAAGCAGCTTGTTACATTTTTAGAGGTTGGTGGGAATGTGGGTGGCCTCAGCCCCAGGTGTTTGGTTCAAGTTGAAATGTGTTAGAAATGGGTTCCATGTGTCATAAAAGGCTGATAAACTATTCTTGTGACTAGATGCCATTTTCTCTAATGTGATGCATTCTATTAGAAGGTTGGTCCAGTGGTTTATGTGTTGAAATTTTTTAGATTTCCACTTTTGAAACATTGTTTTGTTGGCAAAAGCTAGAGAAATGAGGAGTGAGTTTTTGTATTTAATTGGTAGGTGGTTAACATCTGTGATATTACTGAGCAAGCAAAGTGATGGAGACCATCTTTTTTCTGTTTGCATTCTTTCTTGATGTATGTTATGGTTTCATGATTGACATGTCATTACATAGCCTTTACAGCATATCAGCACTGCTACAAACAAGTCTACTGTATATGCAGACATATTGTACACATAAACACTCATTACCCGAAAACATAAAATGTAAAACACACTCACCGCTTATCTGTCCTTATCTGATTTTGATTTCCAGACTCCAGAAAATGTTACGGCTGACAAACACCCAAAGGCCACACCCCGTTCAGCTTCCAATAAGGACAGCTCCTCTGTGGCTGCTGCAAGCAAAACTGCTGGTATGTGTTCTCACACACACATACACACACACACACACACACACACACACACACACACACACACACAGACACTGACAAAGCTTGTACAATAACATCTCTTTTATTACATCTCAAATGTCTGCCCACCCTCTATAGCTAATTGTCTGATACTGCTGTCACAGTATCTCCACTCTGCTTTGGCTGGTTCATGAGGCTGCCAGTGCAACATGATCTCTACAAAAGGGCCCGGGCCCCCTGCAGTAGCTGAATAAATGACTCACAGTCTAGATTGGCATCACTCCAGGCAAAAGACTAACTGAATTGCTACCATATGTTATAATTTATCAGATACAAAAGCTGGCTTTTGAAGACACCAGACTTTTATTTTTATTCGCATATCACAAACAGTATCTCACCTCTGAGTGAGGGAGCTGTGACTCAGTCTGAGCCGTGTTAGTCAAACAGCCATTCCATTTATGTGCTCTTTAGCTCAATACCCTCAGAGAATGTTAGGGCTCACATTGATGGGCGCGAGATGATACATGCTACCAGAGGTGGGAGTAAGTCTCAAGCAAGTCTCGAGTCCTAATCTTCAAGTCTCAAGTTACTGAGGCGAGAATCAAACAAGTCAAGTCCTTACTGTATATCAAGTCAAGTCATACAAAATTCTGATGATATGACAATGCTATGGGAATATCACATTACGTGAAACAGTCACAAACCTCCTCTGATTATTAACTGTGCATTTATATGCTATAAACTAACCCTTTTAGCAGTTAAATATAAAGGCATGTCTTTCATGACTGTCAGAAACTCTTCTCAATAAAATGCATAATTGATTCAAAGCCCCTAACAGCTTAAACTTAATTCAGGGCTTTAGAATAACATTTCATACTAGTGGCACTGGTAGAATCTGTATTTGTCACAAATTATTTTAAATACCCTTACCATTCAATGTGCATAGCCTACATTTATAATGAAACTCAGAGAGAGGGAGACTTGGACACAATAAATGGGAAAACCTGGTACGATTGAGTATGTGAAGTTGGACCCAAAAATGCGGACTACTAAGGAATTGACAAGAATAGAGTTTATTGAAGTTTGGTGCCACAGTTAATGGAGGGAGATGAGGTGAGAGAGGCACCAGCGGATACACAGGAGCGAGATGAGCTGGTGAGCAGGGCAGGGTGGTGGACTCCTGGAGGACCAAGGTGTGCAGGTGAGTGAGCAGGGGAGCGGCAGGAACTCGGTGAACCAGAGGACCAAGTGAGATGGCAGGAAAAGAACAGGAACCAGGGGACCAGGAAGGACAGGTGGGACGGTAGGTAACAGGAGGGTCAGAGGATCGGGACGTGCAGGTGAGTTGACTGGTGAGCCAGAGCACTGATGACAGCAATGACGGGTAGCAGTACAGAGTGCAACAGGAGGTCCAGGGTCTCTGCAGGTAAAAACAGATGCCACACTCACAGCACACTGGTGCAGCTTGATGGAGGTTGGGAGTTGAGCACATTGGAGCAGCTTGTTGGAAGTTGGGCGTCAGGGCAGGTAGCTGACACAGGACCCAGGTGCAGCACTTTGTCAGAAGTCACTGCAGGTCAGAAGCAAATACCACGCTCGCAGCACACAAGACATTCAGAGAGCCAGCGAGGATTCATATGGGTGGAAAATAACAGGAGATGAACAAAACAGCTTTCAGGTGCAGCTCGTAGCAAGATGATCAGGAAAGAAACACAACTAAGTGCCAGGCGATGAACAGATAACTCAAGAGTTCAAAGTAGATAGTGCAAACACGAAACTAACAAAAGGCCCAGCACAAACAGAGAGCAGTAATCCAGCATATACACCGAACCATTGAGGAACAAACTCAGGGAATGTGAATGTGTATGATCCAGCGACAACTAAGTGGAAATAAGGGTGTATATATACGGCTGGACTGGGAGGTAATGAACGACAGGTGGAATGAATGATGGCTGATTAGGTGATGTAGCAGAATGGCAGGGAGAGCTGGGGCAAAAACTAACACAAAAACATTAAGCTCAGTCCAAATAATGACAAAACAACTACCTTTTCACCTCTTTTTATGGAGTCACTGCAGTGCTCTATACTCTAGCAGTCAACATGATGATAATGATGACACTAATGATGATGATAATGACGATTATATATTTCAATTGAAGTATAAAATGATGAATTGTGCACATGCGTTGTCATTTATGATTTAGCCTATTTGTAGCCCATTTTTCTTCGGAAGAAGAATTTCTGCTCTTTGGTGATGTCTGTGTTGGACTTCATGCACAGCTCAGCTCTTTCGGTCACCTGGCTAGTCCCAGCTTATTTTGGATCTAAAGTTACTGTCTTAGTGTCTATATGTATGGATTTATTATTTTTGTTAATTTCCCCATCTTGCTACAAAGGATGGGAGAAAAGTAAAGCCAGAAATCTCATAGTGACACCAGGAGCCTGAGCCATCAGAAGAAATTCAAGTAAAATGTTTCTAATACATAAATAGGCTAACAGGTTATCTATCTGATTTAAGCAGCTGTCTGTGGCAGTTCCACTTCAAATGCACCAAAGGAGACTTTGCATACCACTGTTCTCCCCTTACTACCATCATCGACAACATAATCCTTAAATCTAAATTGTATTATTTTTGACTAGACCCCTCCATAGCTGCATTCTGTGACCTGCATTGCCCTAGTCTGCCACGTTCTGTTAGGTTGCCAGGTTTGTGCAAGTAGCACTACTAATCATCCAGTAGTGTTTCAATAACAAAATATAATTTCTTAGTATCCAGAAAATGCAAATACTTAGTTAAAAAAGTGAAGTCATCTGTCTCAAGTCTATGTCAAGTCTCAAGTCTTGGTTAAAGTCAATCCTTTTACCAATGTTAGTCAAGCAAGTCTCAAGTTCTTAAATGTTCAAATTAAGTCTGACTCCAGTAAAGCCATGTGACTTGTCTGCCCCACCTCTGCATGCTACAGTCTTTCATCTAGGAGACACATTTATATGGCAAGTGTATTTTTACTCCAGGATACTGTACCTATTCTATAAGTAAAATGAACGTAAAAGAGCAACAAAACTGGAAATCCTGCATGTCCACTTGTTGGAGTTCATCAGGCCACTTCAGTTTGAGCTCCCCTAGGCATTCCATGTACTAATCCCTGCATCTCCGGCTCCAAACAAGTGACAAACCTTTCAGGAGAAACACTTGTAATGGCTGAGATCTGCCCTGTTCGCTCTAGCAGCTGTCATGGGTTTTGTTAGGAAACAACAGGAAGTTGGACCCAAATGTAGATACTCAGGCAGATAGGCAAATGAGGTAAAAGCATAATTTTTATGTAAATATTGACAGACTTACCGATAGTCTGGGTAAACATAAAACGGACAGGGAGCAACAGAAGGCAAAGTCCAGGACCATGTGATGGCTGGAAACAGGTGGTAAGCAATTTAAATGAAGGCAGAAAGTCCAGGGGAACTGTCAGTGCTAAGGCTGTGTAAGCAACCTAGATGATCAGGACAAAGAAATATGAGCCAGTATACAAAAGGGGACTGATTAGGAAATGAGACAGGTGTGGAGGTGGGCAGCACAGAGCCAGGTAAATGGGAACCAAGGGGAATTCCAGTGGTAGGTGGGAAGACAGGAATTGAGACAAATCCAAAAAGTCTTCACAGATGACTTCTTCAGCTTGTTCAGTCAGTTCCAAAACTTGTTGTGACAAAAGCGAATTATATTTTCAAAAATTGTAATAATAAAGAAATAACAATGCATTAAAAACACAGTGACATTTTTTTTTACTACAAAAAGGGATGACTAAATGTGATTTCAGCTGTACTTAACATGTTCTGTTAAATTGATAATTCACAGAATTTACTAAAGCAACACCAAAGGAGTAAAATACATACTGTGCACTGCTACACACAGTAGATTCAATCTAAAAAAAATGGCATTACACACATTTGTTAGAACAGAGCGATCTCACTCTGCAACACAAACCCTGATACTTGTCCACACAGCAGCTGTGTAGATATGTCAGAAAAACATTAATCCTGATTTATAGCTAAACAACAGTGTGGTAGCAAAATTCTTGTTAAAGGCTTTACAAGTGTTTCAAATTAGCATTGTTAAGCTTGTGTGTTGTTTTTATTACACAGCCAACAAGAATGACAAGGCTGAGAGCAAGACAGGAGAAGTCAAGAAACCCAAGACTGCAGGTAACACACAAAAAGAAATGGTACAGAGAGTCAAGGAAAAAAGTGTTGTGGTAGTACTATCACTGTTTCTGAATTCTGGATGTCAGCAGGGTTAAATACAACTTGGATAGAAGTTTATTTATGCATCAGTGAATCTATAAATATAGTCTACTCTAGGTTTTACTGTTATGGTTTGCTCGCGCTTTCCGATCCCGTGCCTTTATTTTGGGGGTTTTTTTCGCTCCGTTTCCCCTCTCCTGCTCCAGCTTTACCCTGGTCTCAGTCATCACTCATTGTATTCACCTGTTCCTCGTTATCACTTGGTTGCCTGTGATACATATACTCCTTCCTTTCCTCAGTCACTCACCGGTTTATACCGTAACGTGCCTAGTCCCTGTTGCCGGGTTGTTGTGGAAACTCTCTTAGAAACTTCTGGCTCTTCTCACCTGAACCTGAGATCCTGAACGACTTGTTTGAGTTAGCTGTCAGAGCCATCAGCTCTTTTCCTGTCCACTCACCTGTGAGCACCGACACAAAGCTGAGACAAGACACCAGCAACACTGGCAAGGTTTCCTGCCCAACAATACTTGGCATTGTCTCCAACCTGCCTGCTACCCTATCACCTGTTCTTCTCCTGAATACCGAAGACACCAGAGATGCCAGCGAGGTATCCTCTCCAGCAGTACTTGCTATTGTCTCCGACCTGCTTGCTGCTGCTTTCTCAGATCTGCTTGCTACACTGTCAATGGCTTTCCTCGACCACTTACCTGCACACTGTAGTCCTCTGCTCCAGCTAGCATCTGTCCGGCCTGTCTCCACTCACGTGCACATCCAGGTCCTCTGGTCCCACTGGTTTGTGTCTGGCCCGTCTCCACTTACCTGCTTGTCCAGGTCTTCTGGTCCCACTGGTTCCTGACCGGCCCGTCTCCACTCACCTGCTCGTCCAGGTCCTCCTGTCCAGCCCGTCTCCACTCACCTGTACGCATTCGTTTTTAGCTCCGTGCTGCTCTGCCTGCCCGTCCAGAGCCTACTCTGCCTGCCTGATCCCTCTCTCTTCCACCCAGTAAACTCACTTTTCGTCTACAATAAACTTCTCTCTTGTTTCACACCCTGTGAGTCTTGAGTCTGCATCTTTGGACCTTCCACGCCTCATCCTAACATTTACTGCCTCTAACCATGTTACTTTTACCTTTGTGATATGTACTAAGATATTAACCTATCAAATTTCACAAAAATGATCAATACTTTATAACATTTTTTTTTAATCCTTTTTCTGTAGCTCGTCCTCGCACGGCCACCACCACCACTCCTGCTACTCCGGCTGCCTTCACCAATGGTGAAGCCACCACTACTCACCGACGCCGAGTCATCACCAAACCCCCTGTGCCCAAACAAACCCCACTGGAAAAGAAGCCAGCAGTGCCCCATGCCCCTCGAACCCCCCGGCCTATCAATGCCCCAACACCAGACCTGAAGAACGTTCGTTCCAAGATTGGATCCACTGACAACATCAAGTACCAGCCAGGTGGAGGAAAGGTAGGACAAACCAGACAGTTCGAGAGAGGTCTATGTACATTTATTTACATTTGTGAATGATGCCAATTTTAAAGGTTTTGTGCTACAGGATACTGTACAAACAAACACTTACAGGGATCTTCTTGGCACAATTCAGAATTTCAGAAAATTGCTGTAAGATGGAACTACTGAGTGTCCATTTATAAGTTACTGATTTAGCTGGCAACAAGGTTGTCTGCTCCACTTTGTCCTTTCATCAGTGGTAATAATGTTTTGCACTGCAAAATCTATCCATCTTGTAGTCTCACATTGAGCCCATCAGCCAGTCCTAGCTTGGCAGGAATTTATTTAAATTAATGCTCATTAATTTATCTTCATCCATTAAAGTAGTCACTGTAAGCTAACATTATAGGTGTGCTGTCAAACACTTACCAATAATTCTGCCAAGAAGGAGTGCTTATTTTGCCCTCTGCAGGAGCACACTGAATAATAGACATCACTTTCTATTCTGTGTTGTAGCTTGATTTTAATGCGCGAAATTAATGGCACAATGCAAAATTCATTCATTTAGACAAAATGATAAAAAGCTGTCACTTAACATACTGTATGTTAAGGAACACATATACAGATGTACATAGTATTTTACCTTCTCTTTGATTTGATTTGATTTGATTTGATTTAGGCATTTTAAATCTTCCATCAGTTTTCGGTTAGATCTGCTGTCCCGCTGGACAATGCTGCTGGCTTATAAGTTTCACATGCTTTCTTTAAACCTGCAATTGACTGTGCTGTCATGAAACAAGTACAGAAAGTTTTCAGATCCTCTAAGTATGAAGTGGCTTTCATGTTTTGTTGGTCTTGATGCAGGGCTGACTGATGGGAAACTAGAGTCCATGAAGCATAGATCATCATGAAGCTTTAACAACCTGTGTCTGATAACTAAAACTAACAGATGATCACTGCTTGCACTGAATGCATTTGGTTCCATCACATTTACAGCACTCCACTGTCTGCTTCTTATGCTCATTTTTGTGCTAAGTACAGCATCACAATGTGTTGTAGCTGTGATGAGACTGAAACGGATGTAGAGGGGACGACATCATCTGTTAACAGTTCTTAAATTAGCATCTGTAATGAGTTCAGGTAAGAAAGGGAATATGAAACCTTAGCAACCTTGCCAACATTCAAGTGGTTAACACACACATCCTTAGCGCCTTATCTGACAAATGAAGTGCTATCCCACACCATACAAAATCACATATGACTCAGCAACATGTCACTTCAGTGCTGCAGATGCTGCAGACATAGATTCTTTTTTAAAGGGGCCTTATGGTTACATCCTAAATGAAGAGAGGGCAACTACATGAACTGTGTCAGGGAAGGACTCAAGTGCACGGTTAAGTTTTCACAAGAGTAGTTCACAAGATTCACCTTTATTGGTGCTTACAGTCAAGCAGGTAGACATGGTTCGGCAACAACAGAAGGGAATGAATATGTTATGGTTTGGTCCTGTGCTCCCGGGTTTTTCTGTTGTTTTTCCCCCGTCTCCCTCTGCCTGTCACATTCTTAGCCAACATAATCAATCATCATCACGTTCACCTGCCGCTCATTTCCTCCTGGTTCAGCTCCCTATATATACACGCCCTTTTCCATTAGTTCCGCACTGGTCCATAACCAGAGGTGATCTCCAGCTTTGGCTTGTAATCTTACCTGTGAGTTACCTGTAAAGTTTCTTGTTGCCTGATCTCTGCTGCCTGCTCTACCAGACATATCGGATTAGCACACCACTCCACCAGTGAGCCTGCTATCTCCAGCTCGCTGCTACTCTGCTATCCAGGCAGTCACAAACTACAGCAACAAATCAACAAGCACAGCTCCCAGGACGCTACCCTCCCGGACAGCCTCAACTCAACTTATATGTGAGGTTTGACAGGATGAACACAGACACCCCCTCAAAATCCCCCTGTGACCTGGGGGACACTGCTTTTCAGGTGACGCACACACAGGTCCTGAAGGCCCTGAGACAGGTAAACCCCCATAAGGCGGTGGGACCAGACGGTGTCCCCCCCTAGAGTGTTGAGAGCCTGTAGGGACATGATGGCTCTGGCTTTATTTCATACCGTGAAACACCTGGACAACAGCAGTGCGTATGCTAGGAAGCACTTCCTGGATTACAGTTCTCCATTCAACACCATTCACCCAGGCAGCCTGATTGAGAAGATGACAGACCTCGGTGTACCAGCTCCCACCTGTATTTGGATTCTGGACTTCCTGACTGAAAGACCGCAGGTGGTCAGAATGGGAGGGTGGGTGTCTGCTGAGCTCACAATCAGCACAGGCTCACTGCAGGGCTGCTGTCTCAGCCCCAAACTCTTCACCCTGTACACCCACAACTCTGTCTCCAACCATGACAACACCATCATCATTAAATATGCTGATGACACCACCATTCTGGGCCTCATTAAGGGGGGAGGTGAGTCGGGTAACAGAAGCTTGGTGAACGACATTCTCATTTATGGAGAGGAGAATGACCTCATCCTCAACATAAACAAGACAAAAGAAATAACAGTAGACTTCAGGAAGAACCCCTCCCCTCTGCTGCCTCTGACCATCAAAGGGACTGAGGTGGAGAGGGCTGACAGCCACAAGTTCCTGGGCCTGCAGGTGACATCTGACCTGAGCTGGTCACTGAACACAGCTGCCACAGTGAAGAAAACCCAGCAGCAACTATACTTCATCAGGTAGTTCAGAAAAGCTGGACTGGACTGGACTACCAGTCCTCTATAAGCCTCTCACCCAGGCTTATAGAGGACTGGTAGAGAGCATCATCACTACTGGCATCACAGTCTGGTATAGTAACACCACAAAGGCAGAGAGGAAGGCTCTTCAAAGGGTCATAAAGACTGCAGAGAGGATCATTGGGACTGAACTGCCTGCTACGGACACACTGTACACACAGCACTGTCATAAAAGGGTGGAAAACATAATCAGAGATCCATGCCACCCAGCTCACACTCTACTCAGACACAAAAACTGCACCTACAGGCACAGCAGGGTGGACAGTATCATCACACACAGAATAAGACTTTACAACAGCTTTTTCCCTGCCGCAGTAAGACTGATGGCAAATATGAAAATGTGAGGATATATGTGCAATAACCCCTTACTAGACATGTGCAGTAACCCCTCACTACCTCACCAAGCGTAATGGCATATCCAACTCCACCATGTGAATTACTAAGTGTGATGTTCGAAGTTCACTGTGGGAAATACTATTAACCTATTTTTGTGTATTGTGTTTTAATACTTTGTCACCTTTATGTAACTTTTCTATTTTAAGACTAAGTGTTCTTTCTGGCTTTTGACTTCTTACCTGACTCCAATGACGAACTGCACAAGAACTCCTATATGCCTAGACTGTCCATTTATGCATAAATGGCAAATAAAAATCTTGAATCCATCCAGCACGCCAGTTCTCCATTCTCAATTCCTCCATGTCCCCGGTTCTCCACAACAGGCAACCTCCACTTCACCTCCATCCATCTCAGCCTCTGCCCTCTCTCTCTCTCTCATCCAGTAATTTTGCTCATCTCATACAATAAACTTTACTTTATATTCCACTCCAAGTGTGTGTATGTTGGTACACTGGGCCCAGCTAACACAGGACCTAACAGAATAATTCTAAGGGAAGTACACAAGGATAGGCAGAGATTTAATCTAATTACGAGGCAAGGGTTAATATCTAACTCTAGGAATAACAGAGCATAGAAGGAGGAAAAGCTAAGACATTAAGACATCTAGACAATGTAGCAAGAGTGAGAGTGCACAGTCCAGTGTATATGCAGGTGAGTAATGAAGAAATTAGATGCACGTGAGCTGCAGGGAAGAAGGAAAAGTCAGCTGGCTGGAAGCAGGTCCAGATCTGGAATTACAAGGAGTTAGAACAGGCCGAGCTGGGAAAGATGGCATATGTAACAGTATACCTTTTAATGCCTCATCAGTCTTTCAGTTTCTTCTATTGCCCTCTGTCAACTTCGTTCAACATGCAACATTGCCATTGTTGATGGTTACCTGATGCTGTCATGCATACTTGGTTTCTCACAATCTCTGCCATCTTAAAATGTGCACCTGTCAGACACTTCACAATCCACCCGCTGTAATATACACACAGTGGCAGAAAAAATAAATACTGTTTCTCAGCATGCTAGCTATTTTTCCCACTGTAATAGAGGTGCATAGTGTGCCCTGGATTAACACTGCTCAGAAACCTGGTTGCACTGTCTGTGTCCATTCAATGTTTTGATACAACTTGCCACTCTCTTTCATCTCTTTCCATCTCTCCTGCATTGTCTGTCATAGAGTCAGACCTTCACCGACAGTTTCCAGATAATGGAGTAATTTGTGAAGGTTTGAATGGCCTCATTTGGGTGGAGATCAATAAAATGAAATGCAATCACAAAGTGTCTTATTGCATAAAAATCTTTTATACAGTTAGCATCATATACTGTACATCATACACTGCAATATTGGTAAAGCCTGCAAGCAGCAGCAGCAGCAGCTTCAGACAAGTAACTAACATTCTATATAAAAAACATGTATGTGGATTCACCAAATATTTCTGGCCAAGAAGAAAAATACAACTGGACCAATGTAAGACTAGGAAGCAGTCAAAAGAACTAAAGCTGTGCAGGTCTCAAAAGATTGTTTTATTTTAAAGGAAATCTTTTAATTCATCAAAATACATACATCATCAATCATGATATATGACAGATATGTTTTCAAATTGAGGAAAATAAGCAAAAGTAAATAAAAAATCTCCTCACTACAATAATGGTCCAAAAGCAGGGCTACAGAGAAAAGCCTTTTAAAAACTAATTCTGCAGCCCACAAATGTATTTAGTGAATAAGCCTAACATGAAAAACAGTATATGTCAGGGCCGCTCGGTGGCCGCTGCCTCTCTTCCGCCTTTTTCTCCTCTGTTTTCTTGACCTGCGGGATTCTGCACCTCGTTGTCGGTGCA